CCACAATATACAAGATTAAGAATTTGTTTTGACTTACGCAATCATCTCTATATATGGTAACACAAATGACAAAAATATCTTTGTCATAAAATTAAAGTATGTTATAGTACAGGGGCGGGCAGTTATTTCAGGTGGAGGGCTGCTTACTGAGTTTTGGCAAACCATCAAGGCAATTAGTGCAGGTGGAGGGCCGTATGATAGGCAGCCAGGGGCAGATGCATATTGATTTTCTAAATTTTTTAGGGGCCCCACAGGCCAGATAGAATAGCCATATTTTGCCCATTTTTATGGTAGGTGTTTGACTCTTAGTGCATGATTTGTTTTGTTTTTTTTCCCCCCGGTTCTAAGATGGCAACCACTCTTTCCCTCCCCTCCCCCCCGCAGTACTTCTGGGGGGGCAAGGGGAGGGACTTCTAGTGGTGAAGGTCAGGAGTTAGGGGTGGGGACTTCTGGCTCCAAGATGGTGACCAGGGGGTGGGGCAACTCAAGGGGTGGGGCTATGCATCCAGCCCTCAACAACTTGTTAAGCGGCCCTCCCACTGAAATAATTGCCCGCCCCTGTTTTAGACCCTCATTGACACCTGTGCAAATCGATTGTCTGGCATATCTTGTATAGATGTAAAACAGATTGGAACTTATATTTTTTTTTAAAATTGTAAATCTTATTTTGGTGCTGTTTGGCTTTTGTCTGAACGGGTTCTACTTGGTACTAAAAGGAATGTTTAGAGACTTTCATCTTCCAGTCTCGTCCAGTTTACATGAAGTTGTTCATACAGTAGCATGTTTACATAACAAAACCTGTAATAGATTTGACAGATGGACAGTATTGTATATGAATGGTGATTAAATTAAAAGTCTAAAAATTGTGTTGCTTTTGCACTTTGCATCTTCCATGGATAAACAGATCTTCTGTTTACTACTGCTGTTTAATTTAGAAATGTCTTGAACAGCCAGATTGGTAGGGTAATGCTAGCAACTGACTCCCTAATGTGAAGACTTTCATAATTTTATGTATTTGCAAAACTGTAAGAGATCACTTGCATGTACAGACCTTAAAACCCCTCCTGCAGTGTTCCAAAATTTTTTTGAGCAATGGATCGCATCAACGCATCTTGCAGGTTACCTTGCATCTTTCTGAACTGTACAGTGGAACTAAATGCACTTTCTAGAAGTTTGAAGAATTCCGTTTAGAAACTAGAGAGGAAGCAAATGTCTGAATGATTTTACTGGTTGCTCACCTATTTTCTTCTGCATAAATCGTTTGAGGGTTAAGGTACTACTTATTGTACAGTGATGCGCCATCAGATATTGTCATATCCACCAAAGCTAATTGCTGGTTTTAACCTTTAATAAGAGTTAAATCCTAAAACGTTATTGTCTTTCCATTCAATTTAAAGAACGTATAAGCTGTTCACGTTTCTCTGCTAGCAATACACATTTAGTGCATGGCTGAGTGTTAGGCAGAAGTTGATGCTGTTTTAAAACTTGTTGCAGACTTCAGTTGTGTATTCTTGTTGACTTTTCAGAGATTAGATTATAATGATTAACTCTTCCTGTATAGGTCTGAAATCACCAGAAGAACAACTGGTGTATTTACCACCAAAGGATGCCTTTCCTAATGACCCCCGGGTAATAAATAGACAGAGAAGTTCTGATTACCAGTTTCCATACTCTCCATTTTCAGACACGCAAAAAGGGACAGCAGAAGATGGACTGTACACAAGGCAAGTGGCGAAACTTGAAGATAAATGTGCGCTAACAGATCATCCTTTTCCACCTAAGCACTCCATAAGCGGAATAATAGAGACAACGTTATTAGAAGAATACAGTCTATTTGCAAGAAAGATTCAGGAAATTTTGCAACAAAAAAATATTGCATATGTTAGTGGAATATCTACGCCAGTCTTTTCAGCCCATGAACGGTTAATGAGACTGTCTGAATATATATGTTTACCAGCTTCAGAAATCCCTGTCCAGGAATATATAGAAAAACTGAGTGAAAAGCTGAACAATGTTGTTGCTTTGTCATCTTCACTTGGCCAGCATACTCCGCCAGTTAATTCTAGTCCTGAACCAGGAGGGGATGGGGCCACTGATACTGCATCAAATCCTCCAACAGAACAAGCTCCAGCTGCTTCAAGTGACTTTGCCACTGCACTGTTACCAGAGAGACAATGTAACAATATGGTGGAAGATCCCAATTCTAATGAGCAGCATCCATTAACGAGCTTGGTCTTAGCAAAAGAAAAGGTTCGTGTGAATGCCAAAGTAGAGGATATTTCAGCCTCTGATCAGAACACTTCCAGTGTTGATCCACTGGAACCACCGGCAAAGACTCAAAGGTCTCCAGACAATTTAAACATTTCAGGCCAGCCAGCACTCTCTGACTTTATAAGCCAATTAAAACCTGAAGTGTTCAGCAGCTTAGTCAAAATAATAAAGGATGTACAGAAAAACACTGTGAAATTTTACATTCATGAAGAAGAAGAAAGTACACTCTGTAAAGAAATAAAGGTAACTTAAGGTTGATGGGGTTTATCTTGTAACTTTTTTTTCTACATTTTATGAGTATAAATGGGGTCATTCATAGAATGAATACGTCTGTCTGGTAAATAAATTTTAAATGTGATGTAGATGCAGTTGTTGTGCTTTGAAACTGAAGGTTCAGTGACAGGTGAAAATAGGTCCTCCTGTGCCATGTTCCCATTGAGTTGTCTTGGGGCATACTGGTTCAGGTGAAGGTTGAATATGAACTTATTCCCAGCTGGAGAGTGAAGCTGACTATTCCAGAGGATTCCTGTTTCTTGTCATCTTAAACAGTATTACAGTGGGATTGTGTTGATTTTTAACTATTGTTTTTTCATTTTTTTTCTGTGGGGTAGGAATACCTTACAAAATTAGGTAATACAGAGAGCCATCCAGAATTGTTCTTGAAAAGAAGAGCTGATTTAGATAAACTTCTGATAATTATTCAAAATGAAGATATTGCCAGCCTCATCCATAAGGTATATTACAAAAAGTAAAAACTTGGTACCATTGAATGTAACAGATAAACATAGTGGGTTTACTCAATTTGAGCTAGTCTACTCTCATATTTCAGTGATGCATTTCACTAGCACCCTTTGTAAAAATGGGTTAAGCCTGTCTTTTAACTCTCTTTCTTGCACTACATGTAATGACTACACAGTTCTACAGTTTTTTTCCCTCTCTCCCCTGCCGCCTCTAGTCTCTTGTTCAAGGTTGAATCGTGTGGTTGGTCCAAAAGGGATTGACTACTTTAAGTACCGAATGAATTTTATGAATTCAGGAATAACTTTTAACTGGTACACTACATTTTTTTTTTTATTTTTTTTTATTAACTAACATAGTAAGTATCACCAAGTTAGATTTCTTAATTTCATAGGCTTCTGTTCTTAATGAATAGCTATGCCAAATTTCCCTCCAATTCACTGAAATGTTCAGAATTGTATGTTAGAAGGGTTTAAGGAGTAATGGTGATAATTTCCTGTTCGAAACTGAAAGGGTTTTTTCTTCTTGCTGACAGTTGTTCTTCAAGAAAGAATTGCATGTAGACCTGCATTTTCAAAATGGCTGGAATCTGTTCCTTTTACTGCCGTCACATGGGCAATTTGAGAGGGCTTCTCCCTCCCATTGTTACATCACAGATATACAAAAAATAGATGAACTTAACTCATTACTTTTAGTGAGATTAACAGCCACTTTGTCAAAGGATGTGTCAACTGAAGACAACTCTAGTCTTAGCCCTGTTGTAAAGAAAGGACAGCCATTTTGCAAAAGTATCTTAGACTTTTGCATAAACTGCTCTTAACAGAGGACCTTTCTTTCATGGAAAATGGCCAATACTTAAAATTTAATCCAGAATATTTTATTTAAAAGTTAGTCTGTTGAATGCATCTAGTCCAACAGTGTGGTAAAAAAGGGTTCCTGGAGGTGTGTAAGGGTGGAAAGTGTGTGCACAGGCATGTGTGAAGAGATGCAGGAGATGGGGAATTCTGGGTTAGCAGTTGGAGGAATACATTGGCAAGTAGTTTTACTGCTTGCACTGTGGTAGAGTAGCATGAAGTAGCCAGTGTGTTCCCATGTATCAAGCCATAAACTTTCACTTAAAGTTAAGAGTGATGCTTAAATTAAAAGCTTCCCATAGTAGAATTTATCTCTGGGTTTCTGCAAGATATTTTTCATTTATAAAGTTGCCTTGTATAAACTATTAAAACAGACAAGATTGTGAGATTTCTGATTAAAGTGTGTTAATAGGAATATTTTAATTTTCCAAGCAGACAGATTTATAAATGCAGGAGATTCAAAATTAGGGTAAAAGTAATACAGATTACAATAGAAATACAAATTCACTGTAGCCAGGCCTCCCTAAATTGCTATACTGATGCAGTGGGTTGTCGAAAGGAAGAGGGGGGAAAAAAACCAGTTTTACCTTTTTAAAATTACTTCCAGGAACACTGGAACAATCTGCAACCAGGAACACTGTAATATCTTAATTATGTAATTATTTCCTGGTGTCGCTATAGAACTCTGTTTAGGCTCTCTGAGGACCCTATCAACTTTAATTCCATTTTCATTTGGCTTCTTTTGGCTGGAAATATAGATGCGAGAGGATTTATTTACTAGTCTTATTTATACTTGGACATGGTGGGAACCAGCACAAACTTTCTCAGCAGCTTTGTCAAGGCATGTCCCTTTATACTTGTATATCTTGATGCTATGTTGTCCTGCATTTTTCTTGTTGTGCACTGGACATGGATGAAGTGAGCTGTTGGCACTTCAACTATGGTGATTACTGTAAAAACTTTTTATTGAACAGTGATAAACTTTTAGTAGAAAATTAACCTATTATTTCCAATTCCCCTACCTCCATTATGTCTCTCTTTTTACTGCAACTGAGTAACACCCACTCCCATAAAAGACTTAAGTGAATTGCTTACAAAAAAAAAAGTCTGTCTTAAACTCTAGAGTGGTGTTATGCTAGGAATTGGGGAAGTAAACTTGCTAATCCTGAATTTGTACTGTCATGTAAAACAGTCATCCACTTTTCCCTTACTGGTGCATCTTGAATTCTGACTGTTTCTCTTTTTAAACAGATTCCTGGTTTGGTAACTTTGAAGAGGCTGTCATGTGTCAGTTTTGCTGGGGTTGATAGCTTGGATGATGTGAAAAACCATACTTACAATGAATTGTTTGTTTCTGGTGGTTTTATTGTATCAGACGAATCTGTTCTTAATCCAGAGTCTCTCACCGTTGGTAAGTTTTAAAGGAAATCATGAATTTTAAAGAAATATGAACACTGATCTTTGTTTCTTAAATAACTTTCACATAATATTCTCTCTGGGAAAGGTGTCATATTGACAGGACATGAGAATAATGTCCTAACAGGAGAATGGCACTGCAAGCTGCTGGCAGTTACATAGCACGATTGTTTGGAAACAGTCACTTCAGTCTGTCAGCCACTTCTTCAGCCCTTTTTTCCAGAGATAATGGTCCACCAATTTATAAATAAGTTACCAATTAAACTATTTAGTCCAATCATTTTTCCCAAACTGGGTTAGATTGCTCAGCTACCTAGAAAATTAAGGTTCTTTATATGATGACTGATCCTAAGAAGACACCAGTCAGTCTTATAACATTTTATAACCATAGCTTGTTAAGATGGCAAAATTCTTACTCTCCTCAAACCTTTGATGTCAGTTTTTAATAGATCTTTTTAAATAATATAGATCACCTGCAACCAAATTCTGCTGTTAGTAGGGAGACAAACCTCAGGACAAGGCTCAGTTTGGTGTGTAGTTTGACTAACCTGTTAGGATACAAAAATGAAATTAAGCATGACTAGTACTTTTCAGAACTAATGTTTAGAGATACCTATAATTGAAGAAAAATAAGTGTTTTATAGCAGTTTAAAATGTCTTTAAAATTGTTTACAAAAAAATGTTTTTGATTGTTTCCAAAACAGATAAACTTGAACACTTCCTAAAATTCCTTGAGGATCTCAATACCCCAGATGGGAAATGGCAGTGGAAAGTTCACTGTAAAATACAAAAAAAACTTAAGGAGCTTGGGAGGTAAGTAGCCCTCCTCTGAGTGCCCCAGTGATGAAACTTAAACTAGTGTTCACAAACCAAGTAACTTAATGAAATACCCTACATGATATGGAACTTGTAAATTGTTTCTTGACCTAAATGCAAATATCAAATCCTCTTTTGAAATGGAATGGATTCATTTTTTTCAGAATGAATACTAATGCCCTGGAACTGCTGAGATTTCTGAATATTTATCAAAAGAAGCACCTGGTCGAGATTCTGTCCTATCATAATTGTGACTCCCAAACTCGAAATGCTCCAGAATTAGACTGTCTTATCAGGCTTCAGGCTCAGAATATTCAGCAAAGACATGTTGTCTTCTTAACAGGTAAAAGTAGAAATTGTGGCTTTCTTTCTGCCTCCTACCTCCCCACCACGGTGGAGATCAGTGTGTGTTGTTACATGTTCCTCCTTTCTGTTTTTGTGATTTAGAAAAGAATGTCAAAACATTTTCCAGTTATGCTGATAACGGAATAGTAGTTGCTGCAGTTGATGACTTCATGCAAAACTTTAGAAGTCTTGTTGGGTACCACAATTCAATTACTGAAGAAAACAGCCTTCCTCCACCACCTGGTGTTCACGAAAGACAATCAGGTAATTTTCAGCACATTTTACACTCTCTAAGAGCTCATTAAAAAATAGGGTGAGATCCTTGAGTACAGTGTGATTCTATTCTTAGTAAACAAACACTAGATTATGAGGAAACCCCAACTCTCAAGCTGGTTCTTTCTTGAGCACTTGTAAAAAGTGGCTGGGATGGAGTGCTATCAGGTATTGAGTACAGAATTACAGGCTAATACAGATCCATGATAAAAAAGAATAATATACAAGCCAAAATGACATACCCTGCTATTCTGAAGGAAGAATAAGCTTAATGACAGACTGGGAAACAATAGCCAAATAAACTTGCGTGTCAGTAACTGTACTCTGTAACTGTCTTATCAAATACTGACCTACTGTATAACTTTAGATGCTGTTTTGACATTAACCCCTTTGGAGCTGGGAGTTGGGATTTCCCAATGCTAAGCATGAACGCAATGTGCAGAAGCTTTTAGCATCGGCGTATCTGGACACTCATGCAAAGGGTTAAGTATGTGTGTTGAGTGACAAGAGTGACAGAAGACCAAGCCTTAAGTGATATTGGACTGACAGACCTGAAACATAACACTCTGTGAGTAGTGTATAGCTTCTTTTAAGAAAATGTTTCAATAGAATAGGACTTTTTTTTTTTCAATGTAGCTCTTGTAGAGAGTGATGAAAAGGATGAGGAGGACATGTCTTTGGATTCAGGGGATGAAACATCACAAATAGAAATCTGCAGCGATGCCTCTAAGTATGATTCACATTCAGAAGGTCTGCATACAGAGGCCAGGTGCCCATCTGGAACAGATACAAAAAAACCCTCTCTAACTGATGAGCAGCTATCTTCTGAAGGACAAACTGGTTTGGTGGAAAAGACTTCTAAAACTGATTTGGGTGACATGCAGCCAATTACTCCAGTTTCTACAACGTGCTCGACAGAAGGAGAAAAAAACAGTTCAATAGAACAAGTTCCTTTCAACAATTTTCAAGTTTACAGTAGACAGCTAAGCATGTCCCATCAGTTCAGTCATTTTAATGTTCTCACTCATCAGACTTTTCTGGGAACAACATACCCAATTTCCACAAGTCAAAACCAAGAAGGTGGGAATTACTTTCTTTCTGCTTACAGTCAGAACATGGATACAGACAAGACTTCATCTCCTAGCAATTGGGATGTAAATTGTGATTCTTCCAGGCCATATTCAAAATAGAAATAAACACAACTAAAACTTTTTGTATAGGTTGTTGTGGACTCTTTTCTGTTTCTTAAAAAAAAAAAAAAGTGAATTAACAATTTCTATTTTATTCTCTGAACAAAATGTTCTTGTCCTCTCTCTCAAATGTTTTCCTGTCTTATTTAAATGATGGCCTGTACCAATTAAAGCATCTGAAATTTGAAATAAATATATATATATTTTTAACATTTATTGTACTTGAATTATCTTGTTTGTTGGCACTTTTAAGTTTTTTTACATTTGTATTGACCTGTACTTGGACTTCAGTTTGAAGTCTGTTTTAATGTAAAACTGAATGTTTGCCTAAGGTATGTGAAACAGCAAGCTTCATTTTTTTTTTTTAAGTAAACTGTAATACACTCTTCAAGCCACTCTTCTTTTCATGAAGATCAAAACTGTTATGTATTTATTTGACATCTGACACAAATTTTGTACAAATGTTTTTACATAGCTATAAGGCAGTGTAGTTATTTTAATGACATTATACTGGATTTTTGGCAAAATACCTCAATTAGAGTAAACAATGGTGCAGTTCCATTTTGAGAAATAAACTCTTCATGCACAAGGGATTTGATAGAAAGTTTGCTTTTTTGTGTTATACTGTTTTCAAACTATGGGAAGTTGATGCTGCAAAACATATTTCAGTAACACCAGTTGTGTGTGCATCTAACTTAATATTTAGAATCCTGGCTTATCACAGCTGCATCAAGAATTTAAACTGTATATCTTTCACTAGCATTTATTTAAGGCTTTCAGACTGCGTAGTCATTTCTCTGATACAGTACAATGTTGCCTATTGTTGGTGGGTGGCTGTATAGCAACCGGGACAAACTGTTTGACAGACAAAATGTGATTTGAAAAAAATGGTAAAAACTAATGAGGCACTTGCCAACCGCAGCAGATAAAAGAGAAAAATAAATTTAAGGTAACATTCAAGCAAGTTGTTTTCTTCTTTTTAGATGCCCATTTTTTAAATTTAACTGAAAAAAGACTCCTTTTACTATAAAACATTTTTTGCAATAAATATTAAAAGTATAAAACTATTTTGATAAAACTAGGATGGAAATAAGCCACTAAGTGGGGAAACTATTAATGTAATAGGCTTCTTGCCCAGAAAAAGACAGTGAGTTTGATACTGTCAACAGGTCGACCGAAGATGGCATTGGTGGGTGGGTGCATGTGATTCCTACCTGTATAATTGGATGATTTTTTTTAAGCATACATTAATTCATTTTAGAATTCAACCCACCTACAAGAACACAGTCTCTTGCAAGGTAAACCTCATTGCTGAGGTATGTACAAAATACTGCCCCCTTGCTGGAATTCTGGAAAAAAAAAATGATGGGCAATACACTATCATGAATTTAGGGATGTCATTCCCCTCCACCCCCAGGGTGCACAGAAAAGCTGTTTCCCTTGAACAGATTACTGAAAGTGAAATTTATCAGATTTAAAGGAAAAATCTAAAATCAATTTGCAGTCCTATTTGGCTGATTTCAGCTGGGTATCTACAAATCCAAAAAAACATACAAAAGGGAACTAAGCAGGACTCTGCTAAGAATAGGACTCAACTCAGCTGTGTTGTTTGCTTTTGAAAGGGCTTATTTGAAAAAATAAGGTCTACCTTGCAGCTTCAGAACCACATTTTGGTTTCCAGAGCTGGATTACTCAATAAGACACAAGCTGTAAAGCAGCATTGAGAGTGAAGTAAAGAATTGTACTGGCACCATTCAAAAATGTTATAAATATTTTTATTTCTGTATGCCAACAATACCTAGTTTAATTTAAAATACCTACAAAAAGGTCATGTACAGTACTGCTTTTTCTACTAAATGATCGTATATCTTCAGCCATAGCATGAAGACGGCTCTAAACAAAAATAAATTATTTACATTAGATTCAAGTATGTGAAAACTGAACGAAAATCTCCCATACCCTGTCAGACTTCATGTAAGGTGCTAGACCTTACCTACAAAGGACCTAGCTGCAGTTCATAATTTAAGAAGTGTAAAGTGCTGTGTTTCACTTCTTAAAAATGAAAGTGTCTTTATGTGCTTCCTTGTACCTTAAAATGGCGACAGAAAGCTTTCTTCTTGAGTTATGTCTGGAATCAGACGAGTCTCCAACTCCTTCTGCTTCTGTAGAAGTCCCTGAAAAAATGTAAATGTACAATTGAGTGCCCTTCTCCCTCTACAAGATGAGTGGTAACTGATCACTTATCATATTCCCTCTTTAAAAAACAGCTGTTCTAAAGCAGTTTAAAAACACTTAATTACTATAAAAACAAAACGCAAACATTCCTGCCTTCCAGAATGGGGACTTTTACAAGAAAAGATTTACTTTTTCTCATCTTGCCACTCTTAACTGTATTCACTGTCTGAACTGGAGCGGGGGTATACAAAATTATGTAAGGAAAGTCTGCTTATTCTAACAGAAGTGTCTGTAATATGCAACTTAGGATTTATAATAAAATAAACCTGAATACTTCAAAGAAAATTGTGTCCATCATTTTGAAGTTGAAACCTAGAGTTGCAGGCCATATGATCAACCTACACTTGCAGCTGAAAGATTTCTAAGTTATTCTCTGCTGGTGCCATGTATGCATTAGCAAACTGGGAATAAAGAATTCTGCAACTTGTCCTAGCTGAGGAAGAGAGTAATGTCCAATAGCTGCACTGGACAGCCAGTTTTAACTCCACTGCTTTTCAAAAAAATGATTTAAATGGAGGTGGCCTGCCTCCCTATACAAGTGGTAACATACGTAAATAGATGAGAGAGATTATAGCCCATGTAGGTCTTTTAATGATTACATCTCTACTCTGGCCTCCAGGGCCAAGGCTGTGCAGTCTTCTTTAAAAACTTCTTTGCTGACTGAAGCTTAGAGCTGAGCTTAGCACAGGAGTGGAATGTGTTAAACAGCTAAGCTGTTTTGTACTGCTGTTTCAGCAGTCAGTTCCAGCTGTAGAAAAGCCCAAAGGCAGAGCTGGCATACTGCACTGTCTGGTCATGCCTGAACCTTGTAGGCAAGTTACACCAACCCCAGAAAAAGCTCAAGTTCTGAGAAGCAAAAGGCAGCTTGGAGATGTTTAAACCCAACAACAACCCTCCTCTTCCAGGCTGAGCCAGCACAGACTATCTCCCCAACCCTGCCTTATGCCTCCAGCCATCTTTCAGCCGCAGGCAGACTGTGGGAGAAAAAGAGGCATATGTATTCCCTGCATGAGCCACGGAACTTAGGAACCCAAGT